TTTCTCTCTCATCGATATTTCTAACTCTCTATCTCTCTCCCTCTCCCCTCCTCTCTGTAAAAACTCAATAAAATACATTTTTTTAAAAAAAACAAAAAAACCTTACAAACTCCTCAATATCTCCTGAAATGTCACCATTTCCATGAAATTAATTGAAAGAGCTGTGTTCCATTACCAGAAGTGTCACAGCAACATCTAGAGCAGTGGTGCTCAACCTTCCTAATGCCGCGAGCCTTTAATACAGTTCCTCATGTTGTGGTGACCCCCAATTTCATTGTTACAAATTGAACATAATTAAAGCATAGTGATTAATCACAAAAACAATGTGTAATTATATATGTGTTTTCCGATGGTCTTAGGCAACCCCTGTGAAAGGGTCGTTCGACCCCCAAAGGAGTCGCGACCCACAGGTTGAGAACCGCTGATCTAGAGTCTACACTTGTAAAACTTAATGACTGTTTCATATTGTAATTATTTTTATATGTGCACCCAAACTACTAGAGAAAGCTATTGAGAGCGCAGAAACCATAACCTTAGTTATTATTATATCTAAGTGATATAGTACAATGCCTTGCTCAAAGTATGTGCTAAATAAATATTTGTTTAAATGAGTGAGTGAACAGCTCTAATTATTTTGTCCAAGGGACCCATTTTTCTATCCGTTAATGATTTTGGTTGCTTTTCTCTGAAGTTACTCCAATTGTGGTTGTATCTTTTTTTACATGTGGAACTGAAATTGCACATCATCCATATCTTAAACTACTGAGCTATTTCCATAAAGATGAAGCAGGAAGCCTGCTCCCCTGTCATTACTTTACCACCCTAGGGTTTGTGACTGCCGTCTCTCCATATACTTCTCCCAGCACCAGACTGATGTACCAGTCACACAGGGACAGGCAAATGAAAGGTTCTTTAATGAAGGGTGGCCTTACAGATGACAGAAAAGCTGGTGGTGGAGTGAGCTGGCAGGGAGGTACTGCTAGAGGGAGGAGGCAGGGTGGCTTGTTGAGGAGCAGAGCCAAATGGGACTCCAGTTGCTGTGGTCAAGGCCACGGGTATAGTCCTGGGAAGGGACATTTTACTACCCTGGTTGCTGTGGATTGGCCAGGGTCTAGAGGAGGGAATGCTAGCCACCCCTTCCTACCTCTCTACTTCCTAATTCTCACCACCCTCCCCACCCCCCACCCCTGCCCCAGCCCCTGCTTTCCCTTCAGATGAATAGCTCTGAGCTGGGAGTAAGACCTATAAGGAGAAGACTTTGATACAAGATGTCTGGGCTTCTTACAAACAAAAGAGGATGGAAGACAAGGAGCCAGAAACCACAGTCACTGTCTAAATCTCATTCCAAAAGAAAAAAGTAGAACACAATGGGATGGCCAGGGTGAAAAGCCACCCTGTAGAGCAGATGGGTTTCAGGGTCCTAAGTGATCCATCAGTGTCCAGGCTTGGACTCTCTTTAAAAATGATGGTTAAGGAGCCCTGGCAGAATGCTCAGTGGTTAGAGCATCGGCCCAGGAACCAAAGGGTCCCCATCAAGGGCATACATGTGCCTCAGTTGCAGGTTCAATCCCCAGCCCCAGTTTTGGGGGGGGGGGTGCGGGGGGAGGCAACCAATCGATGTGTCTCTCTCACACCAATGTTGTTGTTGTTTTTCTCTCTCCCCTCCTCCTACCTCCCTTCCACTCTCTCTAAAAATCAATGGAAAAAATATCTCAAGTGAGGATTTTTTTTTTTTTTAAATGGTGGTTAAGGAAACAGAAAGCCAATTCTGGAATAGGAAGCTGGGAACATTTTTCTGGAGAAGAGTCAGTTTGGAAAAGGAAACAAGGAATAAGGAGACCCAGTCAGAGTTAAGATTCAACTAGAAGGGAAACCAGACAGACCCAAGAATCGATAGCTGAGGATGCGACAGCCAACAGGAGATAGAGTGTGAGATTCTGATGATGGCAACTGCTTCTGGCCTCTGAGGAGAAAGCACATTTGAGGCAAAAGTATGTGCTGGAGGAGGGGGAGGAAGAAGGGAGGTCACTGATTTCAGGGTCATGAAATAACTGCCTTCCTCTGTTTTTAACTGTGCAGAGGATCCCACTGGCCATCACATTAATAAAACTGAGAAGAGGTGTCCTGTCCCAGGGAGAAAAGAAGGAAGATCCCTCCCAGGGCCTCCCACCTGCACTCACTCCAGCTGGGCTCATGCACTTGGCACTATGAAGGGTATGGGAGGGTAGATTCACTGTCTATTAGAGGGGAAAACAAGGCTCCGGGGAGGGAAGAACTGGCGATGGGAAGGCAGGTTTGGGTCACCAGAAGGAAGCACTCTCCTCTTAGAGCTGTGGAACTGCCTTCCTCAAGATGTGTTGAGCTCTCTGGCCTGGAAATAATCAAGAAGGGGAGATCACATAACCCCAATAACCAGGCTGAAAGAAACCTTGGAGGTCACTGGGTCCAACTTCCTCCCTCTACCTGAGAAGCTGCCCTTTTTCCCCTGATTCCCCAACTAGTTAGTGACAAAACCAGAACTGGAACCTGTCTCCCAACTCACAACCAGAATTATTTCAGCTGCCATACAGTGAGCGGTTTCACCATAAACATTTCTACCCTGAACCAGCCCAATTACTGAGCTAGTGATTTCTTCTTTTGGCTACAGAAGACAAAGCACCACACCCAACGCTGGGCAAAGAAGCTGACGCAAGGACCTGTCAGAGAATCTTCTCACCAGTAATTTCATCAGGCACTCCTTCAGTTCCTGAGAGGGGAAAGCGCAGTGATGGAGAAATGTGCTAGAACTCTGCACCTCTGCCCCTGTGCCTTGGAAGGGAACCTGGTGGATTCCGGAGTCTCTCCACTCCTTCCAGCTATTACGCTGACCTTTTACAATCCCTGACACTTTCAGAGTTTTACTTGTTAGTTGCAGCAATAGAAAATTGAAAGTCCCCTCAGATAACCAAGTCTATTGTAAAAAGAGAGACCATTTCCCCTCCATTGTCCTAGAAGGAAACTGAGGCACAGAAAAAGTAGCTTCGGGTAAGTTAAAAGGCTTTAATTGAACTATCGTGCTGCCCATTGTTTCCTTGAGCAAGGTCTGAGGAGTTTGATAAATTGGGCAGAGTTCCCAAGGAGGGCTTCGTTTCAAATACCCAGCTGCAGGGATGGCCATGGCTAGGGGAGGGGACGGCTCAATGAGAAGGTGGGAGACTAGGAGGCAGAGGAAGGAGCTAGGAGGAGTGGCTTGGCATATGGGAAGGGGGAAGGAGAGGCAGGTCTAAGAGGCATTGTTAAAATAAAGAACCGCAGGAAACGCACCAGGAGGCGAAATGGAGAGAGCCCTAGAGAAGGCGGCGAGCAAAGTTTGGGCCGCGCAGATTAGAGCGCGCGGCCTTGGGGAGGACGGCCGAGGGCATCCCAGACACAAATCTACAGCCCGCGCGCGGACCGCCCGTGTCTCCTTCTGGGGAACTGCAAGCCCGGCGCCGCTGGAAGCACCCCAAGTCTCAGCCAGCATTTCTACCGGGCGGGCGGGAGCCTCTCGTACCGTCGCCCTAGGATGGAAGAAGCAAACAGCCTCGAGGATGCCCCGACCTTATGTAGCCCGGCGGCCAGGCCCGGGCTCGGCTCTCCCTCCCCGAGTAGGCAGCGGGGCGGCGCCGAGCACCTGGAGGCGAAAACGAGTTCAAAACCGGGTCTGAGGATGAGGCGGGTCTCCCCAGGGCTGGAGCCAGCGGAACTACCCCTTCCCACCTCCGCGTCCTCTCCCGCCCCTGCCCGATGCTACTTACTCCGGTTCAGGGGGTTCCCGCCGACCTGGGCCGACGCCACCAGTTCCAAATAAAGAGTCCAGAGCCCCACGGACACCACGGCGAGCACTAGCAGCAGCCGGAAGCGCCGCCGCAGCAGCTTGACGGAGCGCAGGAGCAGCAGGAGCAGCGCCCCCTTCCCACCTCCGCGTCCTCTCCCGCCCCTGCCCGATGCTACTTACTCCGGTTCAGGGGGTTCCCGCCGACCTGGGCCGACGCCACCAGTTCCAAATAAAGAGTCCAGAGCCCCACGGACACCACGGCGAGCACTAGCAGCAGCCGGAAGCGCCGCCGCAGCAGCTTGACGGAGCGCAGGAGCAGCAGGAGCAGCGCGGCGAGGCGCGCCAGCTCCCTCCAGGAGCCGCTCCTCCTCCCTGAGTGTCCTCCGCGCCCGGCTCTCCTCTCCACGCCTCTCCCGTCGCAGGCGCGCTGCCTCCCTCCCTACCCGCTCGCTCCCCGGCTCGCACACACTGCCCACCCGGAGGTTCCCTAGGTGCGCGCCAACCCTCCTCTCCTCTCTCCCCCTCCCGCTCCGGCTTTTTCTCCGGCCGCAGCTACTCACCCACCTGTCCCGCCCCCGCTCAGGCCCCGCCCCCAGGGCACAGGTGGGCCCCGCCCCCGAGGAGCCCTGGGAAAGGGAAAGAGTCCCTCTGGCTTTCCAGAGGCAACAGGAGGTGTGTCCAGGGGCTTGTGACTGGCGCCCCTGCCGACTAGAGTTGGGTGGGGTGTAGGTGGGGCGAGTTACGATCGGGACTGGGCATGACTGAGGGAAACAGATACCTCCCTGGCGCTGGATGGTGTTGCTCCCCAAGCAGAAGTGAAGCTGGGTAGATGCCAGATGCTGGTGGGGACTCGTGTTGGGGTGACGCCTGAGATTTTGGCTCCAGGGCCTTTCGTGGCCTACACCGACCCTACTCCCTACTTTAGGTAATAAGAGTAGACATAATGTTAATTGGGATGCAATGGTCACTTAATTCAGCCATAATTTCCTCTTCCGGCTCAGATTTGAAGAGGCTTCCTTCCCAGCCTCAACCACAACTCTAGGAGGCACTGGGAAGTTATATGGCCCCAGAGAGAACCCCACGTAACTTTTCCCAGACCATGATGAAATAGCTGTTGGGGAAGAGTAGATGGTGGAGGGTTCTGAAAAATAATTAAAAATAGCCCTAGCTGGTTTGGTTTAGTGCAGTGGTTCTCAACCTTGGCTGCACATTAGAATCACCTGGGAATCTTTTTAAAATCCTGATTTCTGGCCCCCACCCCATAACAAAGAAACAGAATTTCCGGAGGATGAGGCCCAGAAATCAGGATTTTAAAAAGATTCCCAGGTGATTCTAATGTGCAGCCAAGGTTGAGAACCACTGGTTTAGTGGATAGAGCATGGGCCTCTGGGCTGAAGGGTTCCAGGTTCGGTTCTGTCAAGGGCACATGCCTGGAGGCAGCCAATCAATGATTCTCTCTCATCATTGATGTTTCTCTCTCCTCCTCCCTTCCTCTCTAAAATCAATAAAAAGATATATTAAAATCTTTTTAAAAAGAAAGAAGAAGAAACTCACTCAAGTCCAAAAGTTCATCAAGACATTCTGTAGTAGTCTAGTTCTCTGCCTTCAGGCAGGTAAAACATTATCTAATTTAAATGAGATCATTAAGATCCGAGGAGCAGAGTGAATTGCCTCAGGCCATTCAGCAGATAATAATGCAGTTTCATTTTCCTCTATTACTCCTGCGGAAAAGGATCAGCAGACCATGGAGAAAGTGGAGGTACAAAAGTGTTCCAGATATTTTAAAATCAAATTAATAACATGCAAATACTGTTTCAAGACAAGTTCACAGAATATAGTGCTCTGTTTTCCCTTCTCTCTGCTACCGCCTTAGTTGGATGTTCAATAGTCCAATTGTCTACACTGGACTATTGTAATTTTTCCTCAACTAGCTCCCTGAACTCCAGGCTCCCTCCCCCACCCCAGCCATCCTCTCCACTACTACCAGATAGTCTTTCCTTTTTCTTCTTCTTCTTTATTTTAATCCTCACCCGAGGATATGCTGAGTGACCGGAGATCAAACCTGCAACCTAGGTACTAGTATGTGCCCTGACTGGGAATTGAACCCACAATCTTTGGTGCATGGGATGACACTCTAACCAACTGAGCCACTTACCAAGTAGTCCTTATAAAATTATCTTACACATCCATATGTTGTAGGCAGTTATACATGAGCAGAGCAAGGACAGTGGGCCAGGTACAGAGGTCACCAGAGTGGAAAGCCCCAGGTACCTAGCAATGGACCATCAATTGTCGGGTGGGACCTCATCCCCAGGTAATTTTTCTTCCCCTACTAGCATGTTGCTGGTCATGCAGTTTGGACCCCCTGACCTTTCCTCCCTAGAGATAACATCTAGGCCAGTGATGGCGAACCTATGACACGTGTGCCAGAGGTGACACACGAACTCATTTTTTTGGTTGATTTTTCTTTGTTAAATGGCATTTAAATATATAAAATAAATATCAAAAATATAAGTCTTTGTTTTACTATGGTTGCAAATATCAAAAAATTTCTATATGTGACACGGCACCAGAGTTAAGTTAGGGTTTTGCAAAATGCTGACACGCCGAGCTCAAAAGGTTCACCATCACTTTCCTAGGGAGCCAAGCCAAGGGGTTCTCTCTGCCCTTAGGAAACTTGGCTCCCCTGAGCCTTGCAGACTTCAGCTTCTTTTTGGTCATGAATTGTTTCTGTTCTTTTTCTATCTAAATCGATATCAGAGATGACGGGTTCTTTGCTGCTGAACCAGGTTCTTTTTTTTTTTTTTTTTTTTTTCAGTTGATCAGTGTAGCGAGGTTCTTCTTTTTTTTATTCTTCTGTTACATCTGTATTTATACCAGTTGATTTTAATCCTATCCATTCTATTCCAAAGGTTAGG